CTTTGCTATTCAAGTCACATATTGGTTGTGGCCAAAGCTCTCAAAGAGACTACGAAATTTATTAAGTGGAATTCCTTCTAACTCGGTGAAAAGGGTTCGCAAATGTCACTTGCAATTTAAGTGTTTACATCAGAGTTTCTTTGAGATGCAGTGTTTAAAAACAATGAATTCATTTATCGTACAACATTATATGTAAATAGATGATGAGTTATATTTATAATGTTTCGGTGTATTCGAACTTAACTTTATTTCGCCACTGGCTCTCTTGTACACTTTTATCTCTTTCTTTATGTGTTAGGGAATCCCTTAGCGGAGCTTTGAAAAGAGAAATCTCCACTAAAGTAACTTCATAATGCGGTAGTAAATAACACATTTAACATTTATATAATTAACTATAGTACTCCGAAACTCAATACGCGTTTCAGCTAAGTACTAGATTAAGTTAGAACTACACAATAGAGAGCTAGAGATTGCGACGACAATGGTGTCCGCATGACTGCGTGCTGTATCAATCGAGCACGTGCTCTTTGCGGGGATGTGCGGGAACAATGCTACTCTAATACTGATACACTGCATACAAGGACTAATCTTGTACCATCTATTATGTACAACTATACCAATACTACGTAAAATTAAGTCTAGTTAGGCTATATGTGATATGTTCTCATGTACACGATGTTGATATGGTGAAGTGGAAAATGGTCGCGCTAACGGAGGTCCGTGGTATCTGCCTACCCCTCTGGTTTACGGTCGTGAGTTATGTTGTTATTTTCTTTAGTAGAAAATCTAGATCATTTTTTTTAAAGTTAATTGTCTTGTTTAGTTTTATTCTGGTTAATTAAGAGATAATGAAGCGGTAAAAATATTAAATTAATTACATTTTATAAAAACATATCTGTTTGCCAAAGTATTTTACGTTTTAACTCTATAATGGATTGCAATAACTCAATCTAATAACTACGTTCTTTGTTAACTCGGATAAAAGCTAATATAATAAAGGGAACTTTATCCAGGAAATGGAGTCTCAGGAACAAACACTACTTTCAATTAGTTGCAGCGAACATTTATCCGGAGGAATGCTTTAATTAAAGTCCATAAAGACCAATAAACGATTATTCCAAGCGACTGACATTGATAAATCTCCCTTATTACAATTTTTAAACCAAATGAAACTAGTATATTAAAGGAAGTTTGAGAGTAGGTCCAGTTAAGGTTCACAGTAAGGGTATGTATGTTATGGCTAACAAAGGATCGCTTGTGGCAAGTATAACTTTAAATATAAATGCGGAAGGGTACACTGATTAGGTATACCTAGGAAGGTGTACCTAACCAGTGTAGTGATATCTTTATCACATAATTAAGTGGGGACTGAAATTGGGAATAATATGTCTGCAGGTCGAAAACTGACGTACCTACCCCAGATTGGACAAGGACAGGGAGATGTTAAAATTATCGAGTATTGAATTGCCATGAACAGACAATGACACTAGAATTTTTTTACATGGTAGCAAACGAGCTAGCGTCCACCTGAAATCGCTAAAATAGTAAAGCGATCGTTACCCATAGACATACGCAATTGCATATGAGTTGCCTACCTTTAATCGACGGAGAAGAGGATGCACAGAAAGAAAATATTTTCCCTTTCCTTGCATCCTCTCATCCTGAAAGTCCACTTCCACTGTCAACCTTTCCTTATAAGAAAAAGGGTGGGAAGGGAAAGAGGACTAAGTTAGGCCTCCGGGACGCACACTCATCAGACTGTACGCGGAATTGCTTCCACTTCACGCCTGTCTTCTGTGTGGTCGTGGTATTTCACCGGACGAGCCGGGCCAATACGTGCGAAGATGTTAAAGCGGGCTCTACCATTGTAAAGTACGATTAACAATACATTAAATTACTGACGGATTCGCTTGCAATTTGTTTAATTCAGCAGTCTGTCACTCCCTGAGTAGACGCGCGGCGCAATTAAACAATACGCTATGTCAGATTGTCGGCAAGTTAACGTCGTAATTACTGCAGCGATTAGAGATTGTGTCGTCTTAGTTAACGTTAACTGGGATTTGTAAATGATTTGTTAAAGCTAATCTCACCTTTTTTGGTATAAAACTTGTCAAAAAATTTATATAACTCAGAAAACATTGCAGATTTGGCTTATTTTACCTGTCTTTATTTTAAGCTCTAGTTTGAATATTTCTTAAGAGACTGTTTTCATTTGTTGTAGCATTTTGTATTAATATAAAATTCAGTCTATAAAGTAAAAAAAAATATATAAAAGTTAATTTTCAAACAAGTATTATTTTAAGCAGATAAACTGAGACATGCCGATAGAACCATCAACATAAATGTCGTAATTCTTAGTGAAAAAAGATAAATTGAATTTATAAAATATCTATCGTAATATAAAATATGGCGCTTGATGAAAATTGTACGCAGGCGGTTTTATCGGCGTCAATTTATTTATACGACAATGATTGGACCAAGCATGTCCACTCTCACACTTAATTACGCACAAAAAATTATAAACTTTATCTATTTTATTAAATAGAAAACAAGAGCATTAATAAGCAGGTCAAGGTTCATCATCAGCTCACTATACGTGCCCACTAAGGGGCTCGGAGCCTACCCTAAGTTAAGGGTGACTAGGCGATAGTCGACGCTGGCCTAATGCGGGTTACTTCACACATATCTTTGAAATTCTTCTCAGATATGTGCAGGTTACATCACGATGTTTTCCTTCATTGTAAGAACTTCGGATTAAATAGAAAAAACATCAATTTTGTTAATTGTATAGATAGATTAAATTAGCATCGTGAGAACGGTCCTGTCTGCAGCCCTGACCGCTGGCTGTTGAGTCATGGGATTCCGTATTACATTCGCATCGATGATGCTCTATTTTTAATATTAATACTTTAAAATATTTTTTATTTATATATGCGATGTATTATATTAAAATTATTATAAATAAGTAAATAAAGGCTTAAATAAATATATATTTAAGCTCAATAGTGTTGTATTCCCAAACTAAAAGCTCTTTAGAAATATCTTTTACAAAAGTATCATGTTACATTAATGTCTTGGCAGTGCAGTAAAAGCCTACTTTAAGGTCATTGAAACAGTTTTATGTCACAGGGGAATATCATTCTCCGCACGTTAAATGAATGTAGAAATCTCTGCCAAAAAATGTACGTTAGTACTATAAAATTCATAACGTTTAAAAAAAAGCATTTATGTACGTAAAAGAGACGATGATTAAGCGAAATTCATCTATCCAAGCAAAGTATACAGTAAGTATACAAAGATACAGAGTATACAAAGATACAGAGTGTACAAAGATACAGAGTATACAAAGATGCAGAGTATACAAAGATGCAGAGTATACAAAGATACAGAGTATACAAAGATACAGAGTGTACAAAGATACAGAGTATACAAAGATACAGAGTGTACAAAGATACAGAGTATACAAAGATACAGAGTATACATTGTAAACATATTGTAACTTGTATACTAAGTATATACTTGCTCTAATTCCCTTATTTTCTTTGGATAAAAGTAAATAATGATTTTTTGTATTGATTTTCAGTAAGGCTAAAAATTAACAAAACATATTAAAAATGTCTTCATTTTTTTACTATTTTCTTTTTGGACTTTCGTATATTGTTATGTTATGAAGAGGTAAGATTTGATTGTTTGCTTTGAACAGCCTACGAAAGAACTAATCCGATTTGAAAAATACACTATCCGCGGGTGACATAGGATATAATTAATAGTTTTTTTTTCAATTTCCCTCAGACGAAGTCGAGGGCAACTGCTAGTAAATTATAAAAACATTAAGATTAACCGAAAAAAAACTTTGTCGTAAAATTTCAAATTAGACAATCTCTTTGTAGGCTAATTAAGTTTCAGAGGACCTTTTATGAAATAGAATTGATGTAAAAGTGCCCTGAGCTCCGGTTTTGGCAAAGGGACAGGCCTTATCAACTCAGTCACTGGAGTTGAAACCTTAAAAGTAATTGCTATCTTATTTCACGACAGTAAAAAAATATCGTTAATATAGGTATAAGAATATGAACCAAAATAACATGGAATTTAGTTTTTAATGCAGTAAAATTAATAATAATAATAAAAAATATTGAATTCTGTTTGATCATGTAGAATTAATGATTTCGGATGTAGTTTGGTTTTAGAAACGCAATGTTGTATTTCAGATACTTTATTAAACAAACGAACAATTTAAGGTTACTCAAAGTTATATAAACAGTCTCATATTGCGCAGACAGCGTTAGAGTTTTATTTGAGTTTGAAATCAAAATTAATTTGCAATTCGTGAAATCATTATTTGTTATTAAACTATTGTTAATATCCATTAAATCCTAAAAGTACATTTCTTGTACTATCTTTCGTGGAGGGCACGGCAATGCCCCGTCGAATTTTACGTCGTTAAATGTAAATTCAATCATTCTGCTAAAACTTTAATTTTCGTATAATGAGACTATCAACCAAATCGATGTAGTTTCGCTTAAATGAAATACCACGCCATCTATATTTGAAATATAACTTCTCTACAACTGAAAAAAATCACTAGATAAAAAAAACATTACAAAACTACCAATTATATAATTTACGTATATAATTAATAAAAAATTCAATTTATACAAGATATAAGATACGAAAACTACCTACAAGTGGCGAATATTTGTTATTTATTTTTTTAAACGAAACGCAAATGCGGCAGAAAATTGTACTACTTGCTCAACTTCCAGTCAAGATAAAATTAATGGTGGCGGAAAGATGGCGCCACAAGAATACAAAACAACTAAATTGTCACGCCCAAATATAACAAATCTCCAAGTGATTGCACGATATTGTGAAATAGAAAGTTATTTTCTAATGTTCCCTCAGTTTTTCCAATTCATCATGTTTGAATAATAACTTTATTTTCCTCTTTTTCTTTCTGCAATAATATTGCAAGTAGAATATGACATTTTGTTATTTTCAAGCAGTTTTCTATTGTGGCGTCAATATCAGCTATCTCGCTTGCAACTCCGTGCGCACTGCGCATGTGTGAAAGAGATACAGGAAAATTTGTTGCGTTTGAAGTAAACCAGACATTCGTATCAGCTGACAACCAAAGCAAAACAGTCGGTGCGCGACCATCTTGTCAAAACTGGAGTCTGTGACAACAAATAAATATTTAAAATGTCCTAAATCGTTTGTAATGACTTAACATTATATTCGTATCTAGTAAAGTATTGTCGGTAGTTTGTTCTAGTGTCGTTTTAAACGAGCGTACTATACATTTTACTCAATAATTCGGGTTTGTGTTGCGTCAAATGACGTCATGTATGTGATTATACACGTATCACTGGCGAGTTCGTAAGTGTTTTCTTTTATTCCTTTACTGATATTACTAATTTTGTGCTTGTTCAGTTGTGTTTTTCGTAATGGGGTTCCTAGTTTCATTCATTATGAGGCTAGAAACACCGTACGAAGCTGGGCGACTTCCCGTACTGTCGTTGAAGTTGGCAGTTTGCGATGCCCTTGAAAATTATGCAGCAAAAAACATAGTCGCTAGGCCGATAGACTGATTAAGGAAGTATCATCACTTTCTATATTTTACATCCATTGATGGCATTCAAGGCTGCTGTCGACCAAAAATTCCATTAATCATTCCGCTTAGCAACCACAAGTGACTTTTACGTACTTAACTAAAAATGGAACGCTCTCGAGTCATAGAAAGTATTGTTGTGTATAAAACATCCAACAGTGTAGTATATATATTTGTTTGCACTGAAAATGGCTGCGACAGGTAGGTACGTGGTGTGTTTTCGCCTATATATTTTTGATTTAGCACAACACATGTCGACTTTCGACTACGTCGCTATCCACATGCAATCGCTCTCGGCACAGTTGCATAAAAATTAATTACGATATACAAACTTTGTTGTTTTTTTAATTATCAGTTTCGTTACTGTATACTAAGATAACCATATATAATGTCGACGTAATTGTCCATCTCGCGTTGTGGGCGTTACAATATGGATCTCATCTTTCTTGTGCTAAATTCAACCAATATTGTTATACGGATTTATTATCGTGATACTAAATTTGCGTATAAGTATTTCTTACCTAGTTAATTACTTCTTTGTTTCAATCTTTAAAACACAATTCCGATATACGAAACCAGTTTCATACAAAAATGTTAATTCTAGTTTTATTTTTTAACGTAGTCAAAGATATCAACTTTATATTCTGATTAAATGTCATATTTTTAAATGCACGCGATCAAGTTACGAAAAATAAAGCTACTTTTTAGGATAAACTGTTACAACTAATTATATTATGTTATTAGGTTAATAACTGTCGTTATTTATGACTTATCGTTACAAAGTAATAGCTGTTATAGAATTTGAAAGTTTTTATCGATTTGTGTATCTTTATTTACGTGTCCTTGGAATTGGTCTGTACCTATATCATATGTCTGCGAATTGTGGAAAGGTATGAAGATTATATTATTCAAGTTATTGTTTACTTATGTTCTATATGAGTAATATTATAAGGTTATTATAGCTATTTTTATAGCTATACTAGCTGTCGCCCGCGACTCCGTCCACGCGGGATTAAAAATTAATGTTGGCCGATTATCAGACCTAATCAATATGCTCACAAAATTTCATGAGAATCATTCAAGCCGTTTCGGAGGTGTATGGGAACGAAAATTGTGACACGAGAATTTTATATATAAGATTTTATTTTAATAGCTTTTGTACGTATTTATAATATTAGTATGTTTACAAGAAGTACCTAGACCTACCTAGACGTCAGTACCTAGTACCAAAGTACCTAGGTACTGACGTCATTTAGTTATTAGGTTTCTGAGACGGCTACAGATCGGCTAATAACTGGAGATTTCCACTGTCCCTTTCGTTCTTTATAACAAAACAGAGATAACAATATGTTACAAATGATTTGGCTATTGAAACCAGTATTAAATCCGATCCGTAATATTTTCCCGTAATGTGACGTGTACATGACGGCAAAACAGAGCTGATATTTGTCATTAAATAGTTATATAGCTTCATCTTCCTTTCAATATTATATTAACTCATAAAAAGCACAATTTTAACTACCTTCCAGTTAAAATATTGGCAATTTTAATATTATAAGATATTAACAAATATCTCAACGTAGACTAAAAGCCTGATAAAGCTTACCCCAAATCGACAGATAGCAAAAATTCCTATAGGAAGAATGGTACAAGAGAAAACACAATGTAAACGAAATAAAATATATGTCATAAATTTTTATTTCTTGACTTGACACTTCTAACCGTGGTAACCAGTTACCCTGCTCACTATGTTTAGTAAGTCGACTGTGACGTCACAAATACGTCAGCGTTTGAAACTAATGAGACCCTGGCAGTGAATAAGATTGTTACGTCGAGGTAACTCGCACGAGCACGAGGATAATTTGTAAGCGATGCAGTGACGCGCTCGCAATCCAAGTCTTAGAAAATGTCGTAAAACGTATATATTATAGCAGGCTTCCACTGGCGAAAAACTTGCTAACAAATTAAAATATTGTTAAAAGTATAATGAAAATCAAACTAAAGTAAACACACTATACATTAAATATTAAATTTATTGATATTAAATCTAGGAAAATACACTTTTTATCTGTTAAAATACCAAACCATAGTACCTGAGGTTTATAATTACTTGTTTATCGGTTTTTACAAACAATAACTTGAATATACAGGTTACAATCGTTGGCATTTACAATTCGTAGATAAATATCATAAGAAATATATTAATTAAATCTACAAACTGGTCGATATCAACTGTTGTTAACGAACACTCGCTTTTAACCAAGTAAACAACTCCTTTATCATTTCAATTGATTTATATGACCACATAAAAGTCTGATTGTTTACGTGTAATATTTATATCTCTTCTTAGGTACTTTTCTATAACGCTGCAAGCCTATACGTATTGTCTTGAATCTAGATTTATCAAAACTATTATACAATTGAACGACTAACAGAATAAAACCAAAAGTACTTATTTCTAGGGAAAAATATTAATCCCGAAAGCACGTGGTAATAACGAGTAATTAAAACTTAAATCAATATTACTTAAGAAACGAGTAAAATCTTTTATTCGTGTCTTGAAACTTTATCCAACTTAATATTGAAGAAAACTTTGTTATCGACATTTGTTTGGCTTCATAACTTCATCCGTAGATGCCGCTGCGCAAAATCTAATTGATCGATCACATCTAAATGAAATTGGAAGAACTTACACAATATGAGAGGCAGAGTAACATTTAATAAGCGATGCTGATCATCACCAGCTCCATGTCCATACCGAGTGGCTCGGAGCCTACCCTAAGGTAGTGGCTAAGTCATAATCAACCACGCTGACCCAGTGCATGTTGACTTCATAAATATCTTTGAAATTTTTGCTTATATATTTTGCTTATATGCATAAATAGCTTTGAAAGTTGCATCTTGTTTTCCTTCACCGTAAGAACCTCGGATATATACATATAATAATGGAAAAGTCAAAAATGTATAGAACTGTCAAAAACTTTCGATAAGTCACGTGATTATCGCGCGTTTTTGAAATTCGTTATGGAATCGCTTCGAAGCGAATGCGCTTTGTCTTGTCCCGCTGGTTAGCAACCAAGCGTAATACAATTCAGAATGTAACTGTATCTATAATTTTACAATTAATATTCTATCATTACTATTCAGTATTGAGTACATTAGGTAATCGATTTTACATTAGTCATAGCGGCATTTGAATACGATCATGTACCCACACACACAAGCTAGCTGCGATGCCAGGGTTGTCATATTTCAAACACTGTCAGTGTTGCTAGCATCTTACTAATATTATAAATGCGAATGTTTGAATGTCTCGATGGGTGTTTGTTAGAAGGTATCTCAAGAACAGCTGCATTATTTGAGGCAAGCAGCTGTTGATGAAATTTACTACATTATGTTAGTTAATTTGAATTACAGACTGGAAGAACACATAAGTATGCTATTATTCCGGTAAAGTGTACTGTACCCTAAGGATACGTTTGATTTACAAACTCGATAACTCCGCAACGGTTCAAAAGGTCCTATTGAATTTTGACACTCATATAGATCACAGTCTCGAGTAACACATACGTTTCACTCTTTTTTTAATTCTGCGCAGACGAAGTCGCGGGCATTAGCTAATATATTGTCTTTTTTAAACCAGATCAATACTTAAAATGCGTCACTGATTTATAAAACATCTTAGAAACAGTTTCTTAAAAGTCATTGAAGTATTTGTGCTTGTATTGAAAGTAATATACATTTTAATGACAGATCAAATGTTAATTTTTAACGATATATCGTCGTACTTGTTGACAATAACCATGACACAAGATAACCCTGCCATCCCTTTAGCGCCAAAAATAACCTTTTCGCAGTAAACAGCTCGTTCGTAAACAAAACGAGGCGTGAGCCGAGCTAAATTAGCAACACGAAAGCAATGCTTATGCACAATATAGATATGTCAAACTAAATATTTCATTAGCGCCCCCTGTTAATGTCAAAAATGTTTCACAAGATTGTAGTCATGTGTTTTTTTCTATGTATATGTTTCACTATGATAGATAGGTGATTGCTTGAAAATTACAGCTTTTGCTTCGTTCCGATTTGATCGCCCCTGTTGAAGTTACGTGACCGATAATTCTAATATTATTAGTTCCAATCCACACCACAGCTACAAACTGTTACTATCAGCGCCAAAATGGCGAAAATCAAAAAGGCACAAAATACTGCGTCTCATTGCCAGTCCATTTTTATAGGTCAGTGATAGGTTTCCATATATACTGATATTCTAATCACGATAGTAGCGCCACTCACCGGGCCAGATAACTCGCGTTATATGTAACTCCTACATGCTATGTCCATACATGATAGTATTGTTTACATATCAACATGTCATAAGTTTAGTCAGCGTTAGAGCGCTAATTATAGCGCGGGAAGAGACGTCGCCATGTTTAAAAAAAAACTAAACGCACTTACGTTGAGTATCCTTCTAGATTTATGTTAGATACGCTTTAAGATTCAGATTAGGAATAGGTTATGACTGTCTATTTGTAGAGAGAGTCAATGCTTTCCTTTTTATCTTACAAATGCTAAATACTGAAATGACGAAGCAATTTTTGTCTGAGTTTGCGTAAAATATGGCTTGCAATGATTATAAATTTCATTAAAACATGATGTGGGAGTTGAGCGATTCTTACCGTGAATGTCCATTGTTAAAACACATGCAAAAACATATAGCCATCCCTCACTTTCTTTTTGAAAAAGAGATAATATTCCGATAGCTTAC